CGGCTGCCTCCCTCTTCCCGCTCCAACACACCCACCCACACAAGTAGGGCCTTGGGTGCGGGTGTGTCACCAGGGTGCAGGGAGGCATTCCCCCTCTGGCTTCTGCTCCGTGGCTGCTGGGTGACCCCTCGTCTGGGGCTCTCCTCAGCTCTTCCCAGGAGGGTGGCACGGATGCCCCTCCGGTGGTCCTCCTTGAGCCATGCACTCCTCCATGCCTGCTTCATGACGACCCTGAACCCTGGATTGGCAAAAGAAAATTGACGGACCGCTAATCTCATTGGGAAGCTGAGTGCAGATTAGTTTTTGCTTTAGGATAAATCTTGCTTTTGTTTGTAATTCTTTACAGGTCACAGACTAATATTTGAATCTCAGTCTGTGATGCACCAAGTTAGGACTCATTCTCTCAGATTGATGAAATATTTTGATAATGAAAATAGTACTTCTCTTTTATGACCTCCTTGTAATTTTAACCAAAGCTTCACCACCAGGGGGCAGCATGTAATCTGCAGGTGTGTCCAGATGATTTTGGATTGGTGCTGGTGTTATTTTAACTTTAGTATCCTTTTACCTCTTGCCCATTGTTACGACTGTTAATAAGAACACCAGGTTAAATAATGAAGAATGCATTATCATATTTTTTCAGTGTTATTTATTGAGTTGATAAGTTAGATCTGAACTCTTGTGAAGCAATAGAAGGAGGTCAGTCTTTACTCTGACAATAGTGAACTTAAAGTATATAGTGAACTTAATCTGATGTCAAATAAAAGTTGAGGGCTGTCATTACATCCCAGAAGCTGCGTGATATCGCTGATTTCTCACTCATAAAAATCCCCCAAAAACAACAATATCCACCAGAAGTAGGTCAATGTCATCTTTATAGAAAATTGTTCAGGTTACAGGTCAGTGTATTTGTTTCCTTTCCAATAGAAAAGAGCTCCTTCTGCCCAACATCAGCACAGAGACAAATACAGACTTTTGGTTACAGCAAAAAAAACCAATAAAAATAAAGTGAAACGATTTCCTCGTTTCACTCAGCAGGTCTGAAACGATGTAAACACATTCATCTGGTCTTTGAGGAAAAAACACGTTTCATTGTGCTGTTTAAACAGACAAAGATCTGCAGGTCAAACTGGAATAGTTAACATTGACTGTATGTTTAAAACAGTGGATTATTTCATGATAAACTGATGAGATCTTTGTGTTTATTTAACTGGACATGAACAACAGCATTCATATTAGCAATTAGATCAAATAGTCTTTTAGTGCAATGTGTTTTTATGGATTCATCATGGGCGTGAAGTGTTGCAGCTAGCCAATGACACCTCCCCCCAAACAAAACACAACTTAAACTAAAAACAATTAAATACAAATTAAGGTAATAAAACAAAATAACCAACCAGCATATATAGATATAGATATTTGGATGGAATTAAATATTTCTCATAATATTGTGACTTCATTTCTTCCTTCACTGTTCTCATTCAATAGTTTCACAGGTCAACTTTCTTACTCTTCAGAAACACAAAGCTGAGCTTCAAACCGGAACTACAGAAACCAACGTGTGACATCACAGCAGCTGTGTCCAGCTTTTTTGTGTCAAGCAACAAAAAAGAAAACTACAATCCCATAATTCTTTCATTTGATAAGTAAGAGCTTCCCACTGTTAGCATGTTAGCATGATGAAAAAAACCTAAATGTCTGACTGGACATTTTAACTGAACACATGTATGTGCCGGCATAAATCCGTTTACATTTCTTAAAGCAACAGAAACCTTCCTGCAAGCTTTCCAAATATTTACTGTGAATCAGCTGCAGACAGGAAGTGACCTCACTGCTTGTTGCCCAGTTTCAGGAAGCGCTGTGACTTCTGTCTTGCCATGCGATGCTGCCGCTGTGCCATCTGAGCATCAAATATGGCGGTGTGCAGCTTCTGCAGGAACAAGAGGAACCAGGTTGGGGAGGGTACATCACGAAACAACACACATCCACACCGAGGCTTTCATTCATACCCAGGTTTCCACCCATACAGACGCTTCACCCATACTGAGGCATCCATTCTGTGATTTTTATTTAAATGCACTAAATTCACCTCAGATTAACAAAAAAACAACTCAACAAATAATGTGAGTATACAGGCCCTTTCCAAAAAATTTGAATATCATGGAAAAGTTTATTTATTTCCATAATTCCTTTCATGACTTTCATAGATTATAGATTCAGGGCCCACAACTTAAATAATTTGAAGTACTGTTGTTTATTTGTACATAATAAACCCACGAACTCATCTACTAAACTCAAAGCACCTGCACAGGTTTTCCCAAGTGTCATTAAATTGTTTCACTTTGACCCAATTGCCTCAGTTAGGTTCAATATGGGGACGACTTCAGACTTGACAACAGGCCAGAAGAGCATCATTGGAACCCTCCATAGGATGGGTAAGCCACAAAGGTTCATAGCTAAGGAGGCTGGCTGTTCACAGAGTGCTGTGTCCAAGCATATCAATGGAAAGTCCAGAGGAAGGGCAAAATGTGGCAGTAGAAGATGCACCAGCAGAAGAGATGACGGGGCTTTCAGCAGATTATCAGACAGAAGATTCAAGAATCTGTCAGAGATCCAGAAAGGGTGGAATGAGGCAGGAGTCAAAGCTTCAAAACCACTTCTGCACCTGAGCCAACGTCAGAAGCGACTCAACTGGGCCAAGGAGAAGATGGACTGGACTGGTGGCCAGTGGTCAAAGGTCCTCTTTTCTGATGAAAGTAAATTGTGCCTTTCATTCGGGAATCAAGGTCCAAGGGTTTGGAGGAAGACGGGTGAGAAACAGAACCCATGCTGCTTGAGATCCAGTGTGAAATATCCACAGTCAGTCATGTTTTGGGGTGCAATGTCCGGTGCAGGTATTGGTAAACTCTGCTTTCTTAAATCCAAGGTCACTACAACAGTGTACCAGAATGTTTTAGAGGGCTTCATGATTCCTTCTGCTGAGGATCTGTATGGAGATGCAGATTTCATCTTCCAGCAGGACCTGGCCCCTGCACATACCACCAGAAGCACCAAAACCTGGTTTGATTGCCATGCCATCACAGTGCTTGACTGGCCAGCCTACTCGCCGGACCTAAACCTCATTGAGAATCTGTGGGGTATCAAGAGGAAAATGAGGTCCACCAGAACAAAACAAAGAAGAGCCGTCAGCAAGCATCAAGAACACCTGGGCTTCCATAACTGCCAGGCAACACCACAGGCCGATTGCATCAAGGCCACGGCGCATCGAAGCAGTGATTCCGGCGACGGGATTCCCAACCAAGTATTGAAGATTAACATATCATTTTGAAAATACCACATTTTGACTGATTTGATCCTAATTTTTTCTTTTTTTCCTGCAAAAACTGAGAAGTAAATGGTGATGTCTTCACAGTATTCTAATTTTTTGAAATCCTGTTTTCGTGGGTTTATTATGTACAAATGAACAACTAAGTACTTGAAATCGTTTAAGTCGTGGGCCCTGAATCTATAATCTATGAAAGTTTAAAGTTTTGAATGAAATTATGGAAATAAATAAACTTTCCATGATATTCAAATTTTTTGGACAGGGCCTGTACGTTAGCAACCCCCCACAGTGAGTGGGGTTAGTTGTCGAGAGGTTTGTGGTAACTTTGTAGCATGACAAAGTAAGCAGAACTTTTTGCAAAATGCAGAAGTGAGTTAGGATTATTATGTAGCACACAGACGAAAGCAGGGTTAATGTGCAACACAGAGGCGAGCGTGGTTAGTTTGTAGCACGTAAAGAGGAAGCAGTGTAATTTGCAATGCCTCAGGTTTGCTCACGCAGACATAAACAGTCTTTGTTTTGGTGATTATTACTGTTTGTTTCACGCTGTTATTGGGGCCAAACTGAGCTCATTAATACTGTTATGTGCTGCACACGTCACACCTGCCTTAGGTAAACACCATAACTGTCCTTATTTACTCCATTAAGTGCGAGTTCGTCAATAAATAGTTAAAACCTCCTCCTGTCTCCTGCTTTCTGTGCGTCTCTGATGGAATTTGGTTCCGTCCTCCTTACAATTTGAAATCCCACCAGAAGCTGTTCAAAAGTGGAGCGTTTAATCTGGACCTGGTCTTTTATTTTGAAAATTGACATGAATGCTAATGCTGCTCTTGTGCCGGACTTCTAGCTCTCACCTACTGTGTAGCTTGATGCAGCTTCGATAAATAATCGACCCAAGAGGTTTACAATGAACAGTGTTCAGGCTTTCCTTAGCCTGCTTTCAGTTCAAGTTAATAATGTTACGGCTGCGTGCGCTCTCCAAAATTATGACTGCACAGGAGAGCTCTGAAACTTTAAACCAGATACATTTAAATATTAAAGCTTGCTGTCCCACAGCCTGATACAGGAGATGAGGAAATCACTTTAGTTTGTCTGCAGATCAGAGTGAGACTAAATTGACTGATTTAGCAGGTATGTGTGTGTGTTGTGTTCTAAGAGCTGCATGTTAAACAGTGTGAAAGAGACTTAACAGCACATTAGAATTAAATGTAAAAAAAAAAAAGAATCTTCAAATGGATACATGAAAATTTCACTAACAATGTGCTGTCGCAGATAAATCTGCTGGTTTTACAGCTCTGCAGGGAACCAATGTGAAACATTTTCCTCCAGCAAACAGTCTGTAATGCACTTAAACCAGCTACGACAAAACAACAACAGAAAGTGGACTCTGAATATAACCTCGTCCCAACCAGGTCATGTATTCAGCATGAGTTACCATGGTTACACTGACTTTAAACTTGACGCAGCACACTTTGCCATTACTCTTGCTTTGTAGTCCTCCACATGCTACTGTAAACGAAGTTGAGCAGGAAGCTGCTATCAGCTTTGGTCCATATTGAAGTCAGAATGTGCTGCAGCCTCACAGACCCACACACACACACACACAGTACCTGAGCAGTGTTAGGGTCGTTGAGCTGAACGCTCCTCACAAACTCTTGACCATCTCTCTTTGAAACGACAGCTTCTGCTGCTCCTGAGACACAAGACATTGAAATGTAACATGGTTACAGGATGTGACCTCACACCTAATCTTAATTGTTACCTTCCTGATTAAACAGCAGACAAATGTGGCCGATGAATTCGAGTTTTATTCAGAGGTTTATTTTGGTACCTTGCTGTAAATCTTCAGCTCACTTCCCACCACAGCCGGCGGTCGACAGATGTTCTCATACAAACATTCCCACTCTTTGTTGAAATGACCCACAAATTCTATCTCCTTAACACACAAAACCCTCCTGCACAAAAACAACAACGACACCGTAAGCAACGACACATGCTGACAATCAGCAACGAAAAAACACAATAAAATAACAACAGGTTTTACCTGTTGGTGACGATGATGTTGGTCTTTCTGTGTCCAGGATACAGACAGTGATCTCTGAACACTTCACCCTCCAGCTGTTTGATCTCTGATCGCTGGAAACACAAAGACTCCCAGGTTTTATTTACCGACCACCTGCGGTTTGAATCTGAACATTATACATGAACATAAGGTGACCCTGTCGTTCAGTAAAACCATACAGGGTCCACACTGATGCACCAAGAGGTGGATTTTACCATGCGGTGTAGCTCGTTGCTGGATGACTTCTAGTTGAAACAAGGACATTTAACAGTATGAAAGAATCGGCTATATATAAAAGGAGGAAGCAAGCTGACATGTTTGATTGTTTTGGAGATTCTGAAGGTTCAGGTTTGGCATTTTTGTTGCTGGCATCTATTTTTATTTGCGACAGGACTTCATAGCGAAGGGAAGGATCTGTCTCAGAAAAAAAAAAAAAGATTAACCAAATCAAAGATAGACCTGTCCTAAAATATATCCTGCTTTTTCATAAAAGGAACATAATCTTGCATTAAGGACATCCTGAAACCAACAAACGAGACCTTAATCTCACAGGAAAGTATTTATTCAGACTTATATGAGGTGAGAAGTAGAGCATCTTTCTGAAACACTTGCAGTCCAACTATACGACTATTTGTAATAATCCTTTAAAAACACCGTTCTCCTTGGAGAACCCCAAACTTTTTGTGCAGATGCCAGATGGAGGAAATTCTGAAAGCATGACACCGAATGCTTCGATTAACAGCAGAAATGTTAATAAGCGTGAAAAGTGATCCCGTTTTGTGGAATAAACCATAACTAATTAACCAGTGAAGCAAACCCACCACCAGAAGAAGAGAGAGGAAACTGTGGACGTATCAGAGGAGCTATACACACACTTCTATATGGCCGAGGATGCTAACATGTTGCCAAGCACACTAAAAGACGTATACGCAAACCAAACACGCCCTCTGAGAGAAATCTGACCTACTTCAAAAGAAGGATCGGAACCAGAGTGTGTGATAGCGTGATTCTGTGAAAGCACGTGTTAGTGAGTCGTTACTCTTCTAACCACATGCTGACAGTAAAGGCGACAGCCCCGCCCCCTCCCACCAAGCCCTGCATTTGGAAAAAGAAAGGTGTGAGTAAGAATTTTTATTAAACACAAATCTTACAGACAGCGACACGCTCTCAGCTGACAAACACTCAGAGGTGACGTTAGTGCAGACACAACAGAGGTCATGCAGACTGAGTCGTACAAAGAGTACATCATCACAAAGACACAAATATTAAACAGCAAGTGTTCATATACAAGTTCAGAATGAATTTAAAGCTGACGCTACAGAACGATACAAAAATATCGGTAAGCTCTACACGGACATGTATCTCAGCTTTATAGCAAAATAATTTCACCACCTGCTAGTCTTGTCTGAATAAACAATATGTAATAAATGGCTATAAACAAAAAGGGTCATTTAAAAACTATTGTTTATAAACAGAAATAAAAAACTAAAAGCAGAAATGTTTTGTGTAGAAAGAGTAATAAACTGAGAGCTGAGTGTAGAAATGTTTGAGGTATGAGAAGAGAGATTAGTTTTGGCATGCATAGAAACCTGAATCATCTCAATATCCAGAATCAATGTGGATATAACAATAATATAGACTATTATAGAATATTATAGGATGAGGAATTGAACCATAAACATTTTATTAGTCATAGACAGGATTATAGTCTTTCAAAGCACTTGATTGATAAGTTGATCCGCCCAAACGAACACGATTATTCCTCCTCAGGCTGCATGTGGCACCAACACAAGAAGAAAAACAAAAAAGAAAGAAAAAAAAGGGGTTAGAAGCACAGACACACAATATATTAGCAGCTCCAGAATAAAGTTTTTCTGGTGTGTTTTCCAGCAGCTGAGATCTGATTCCTCATATCTCGTTTCTCCTGCTTTCTGATGTCTGCCTGATTGCTGGGTGTAGACTGTGTTCACAGTGAATGTGTGTTTTGGCTCAGCTTGTTTTTAATTCATAAATATCCGGAGTGTGTGTTCAGAGCTGCTGCTGTTTTGGATTTTTATCTGCTGATTGGTTTTGGGGCAGAACTGTTTTTGTTTTTAACAGCAGAAGACCACACCTGCTTCCTCTCAGCAAGCAACATCGGGTCGTTATGGAGCAAAACGGTCAAAGCGATCGAACCTGGAATAGGTCGAATCCCTGCGACTCGGTCAGGTCATACGGCCTGATGATCCCATCCTCCCTGATCAGACGCACCGGCCGTAGCTTGGTCACTTCCTCTGTCGCCTCGGCCGCCCTGAAATCACAACACACGCGGGAAAACAGAGACGCACTTGAAAAATTATTCTAGTGCTACAGAAACTGAAACAGACTCATTTCTGTGCCTTCCTGCTGAAGCTTAATAACTTCATATGGTGGAAGTGAAGTTGAAGCATCATCAGTCGGCATGCTGACTAGTCGTTTCTACAAAATGAGCCCTGAGAGTTGGATCTGCTACAACCCTGTTTCCAAAAATGTTGGTGCACTGTGCAAAATGTACAGCAAAACAGAACAGTCATCTGCAAACCATTTAAAGTCTGTATTTAACTGAAAATATCTTAAAGGTAAGAGATCAAATATTGAAACAAACATTTTTCTCAGTTCTTGAAAGCTAAATGGACGCGTTTAATGTTAACTCTGTCCCCGTAGTGACGAATTATGTCACTATTAATAAAGCTAGGGCTTGTTTCCAGATTGTTCCAAGAGCTGCTGCACGGGCAGAGACCTCACCCTCGTCTGATGCACACCAGGTCAATTTGAAACCTGCCACAGACTTTGAGGCGGTAAAGAGTCACTCATTCTTCTACCAACACTTGCTGTGCTTTTGGAAGCCAAACAATTTTCTATTTCACTTATTCAGCAGAGCCTCCTGTGTGTATATTTCCAGTGGCTGTTTATGAACAGAGAATTATGGATTCTGTGGATCTTCTAATGTTGTTAAATTCATTCTTTAAGAAGTACTTTTCTCTAAATTGTAGAAACTACTGCATCTATCTGTCATTTTGTACCACTGATTACACTCAGTGTTGTCTTTTTGATCCATTTTCAGTCAAATAAAGATTTTAAATGTTTTCCTTTAACTTCATATTTGTCCTAACCTTTTTGGAAACGAGGTTGCAGTTCAACCCTGAAGCGCATTCAGAGTGAAGCAGGTTCATTTCTAATGCGCACGATGCTGCGAGAAGCTTCCGTCAGGTGCGATATCTCACCTTTGGTGACCTCTACAGTGACAGCGTGAAACGGTAACATTCAACAGGTTATCATAAACCGACTGACGTGTCACAGGACAGATGTGTCCTCCATACGGAGGAGGGGGAGGAGGATGAAGGTTGATAAGGTTCCTGGGAAATGTTTTGGGCATTTCAAAGTATTTCTTTCTACTTAAATGTGTGGACAAAAGACTAGTTAAAGACAAAACGCAAAGGTCACTGCTGATGTACACAGAGTTGTTCTACCTTTATCCCAAATATCTCTGTCCTGATAGAAGAGCATATAGAAGACAGATGTTGATATCCAAATAGGGGAATGTTTTTAGTAAGAATGATTTGCATCCCTCCGGTAGAGCGCTGGCCCAGAACCTTCATGAGACACTTGATATTATTATTTGTCACCTGCTTCCTAGTATCTATAATTACTGCCACGTATATTTTAAATCTGAACCATCGCCTAACATGTTCAGAATGTACTATGTAGATGGAAATAATCAACTAGTATTTAAAAATATTTAGCAGTACTTTGAACTTTGCAGTGCAGTTTTCTCTTTGATGCAGCTCAAAGCTGTTTTTAGTGCGAGCGTCACCTCAAACAAACCAACACCGTGGCTGTTAGTGTTTCTTTACACAATCAGTATGAACCAAGGTGCCAAACTCAGGCTGGAAGAACCATGTGACCATTCAGTCAGCCAATCCCTGAGGAGAGACCAGGTGATGCTTTGAGATTCACTGGCAGGGGGGACAACAGAGGTTACTGCAGACTTTAAAGTACTCAGTGGTGAGATTAAGGTAAGTGTATACAGAAACTCATCTGTCCTCGGTTATATACCTGCAGAAACGTCAGCAGGACGTGAACACAGTGTTTCCCATAGATTAGCAGAGATGGGTTTGTCCACACGGCCTCTTAATGAATCAATAAATGTATCTACACATATTTTATGAGTGACAAATAAATAACTGATCAGCTGCCTCTCATCCTGTCGATTAACTCTAAATCCATCATCGTGTTGCCGCAATGCTGGACAGCCAAACCCACAGGGAGGTCGGCAATTTAGAATCACCCTAAGCCCAATAACTGCATGTCTGCACGACTGGAGGACCCATGCAGACAGCCCAGACAGTGGATTCAAACCTGGGACCTGAAAATAGGGATGAGGGTGTGAAATAGACTGTGGAGGGACGAAGACAGAACAAATGCTAAAAAGAGTCGCCACACTGGCTGGTTGTTGACACAGGGTGACCTGCTAAGGTTAAGTCTACGTGTGGGAAACAACGGAAGGGAAACTGCGAGGACCAAGCAGACAAATGTTTTCAATTTTCACGATGTAAATGCATGAAGCACTTCGGATCTCTTTACAAGCAGGACCTGTGACTCTCCTCGGGGGTGTGGCTTTCTGAATCACAATGCTGCCACGAGCTGGTGGGTTTAAGAAAGGGGAAGGGGCAGCAGAGGCAGACTGATGGTGGATGACATGATGAGCATGAATCAGTTTAAACTCTTGACACGATGCAGCGACTTACCGTCCATCTGCCGCAACAGTCAACATGCAAACGTCAAAGTGCTGCAGGTTAAAGCTCGACCCCCTCACTACTGCTTCATCAGGTCTGATCAGGTTTTATCTGGTGCAACAATGAATGCTACCCAAACATTTAAAAAGGGGAAAACTAGTCCTGAACCTCTGTAACAGATCTACAGTTCAGCTCTCAGGCAGCGATTAAAGAGTTCGGCTTTAACATGCTTCATGTGAAATACTCACACACCAAAACAGCAAGAAACCAATGAACAAAACTCCCGGCAACAACGACACGAGACAGAAAACAAAAGCAGAAATTAGTGAGCAGACAAACAACACATTAAGAAGCACACAGAAAACACAGGAAGTTCTTCAGTCTGCAAAATACTGGAGACAAAGTACGAATAAACAGAGTCACTGACAGACTGAAGAGTGAAAATAAAAACTGGACACGGACGAAAGCTTGAAGCAAATACCTCTGGATGCCCTGGAAGGTGCTGCTGGC